TGGGTGTCCCATCACTAATCAGGGGCATTCCAGTAATTACTTGTATCATTGTACTACATTCAAATATAAATAATAGCATGGTCAACTGGGTAGTTTAGTTCGACATTCACAGCATACCAGTGGTGTTCTTCTCCTCTCCTCTACTTCGAGTACAGCTCTCAAGCTCACAGACCCTATTCCTTCCAACATCATATCTGAGCCTGTCACAATTTTTTCTTGGGTTTGTCTGGGTATTGTCCCATTAACTCCACTGCCTCTCCCAACAAAATTTCCACTTGTATTTAATTAAAAACAGGGCCCAATTTCTTTAATTTTGAAATGTCACCCAATTATTCAAATTTTTCCAAACCCCTAAATTTATTTAAACTCTTACTGAGGGACACATGCTGCGAGAATTTGTCTTGTCCTACTATATTACCCCTTGAGCATTTCCATTTTTCCTTTTCTAAGATTCCTATCATCTTCCAGCCCTTCCCATTCAATTCACCTCCCCTGTGTCAACAGCTACATCCTCTCCATTGTTATCACCCTTCTGCACCTCCCCTGCTTTCTCTTTCATCTTAATCTCCATCTGTACAGAATATCACTCTCAACAACCAATCTGAGATCAAAGTGTCAACCTATTCTCCCACAAACTTCAGTTTTAGTGATGGAGGAATGCTCTGTACTTCCTAAACTTTCAATTAGAATTCAAGTTGCAACTTTATCGGTTTTCCTGAACAACCCAAAGGTATCACCTATTGAAACGAAGGACTGCATGCACCACACACACACATACAATAGAATATCGAAAACATTAACCCACACCAGCCTCCTAGATCTGATATCTTTCAACACCCCTGCACCTGGGTACCAACAACTCAATTGAAGCTCCAGGTTTCTCAGCTGATCATATTCCCACATCAAATTCCTTTTTTGTCTAGGGTATGTCTGCATTGTGATAATAATTTTAACAGTGTAATGGCTATGTCTGCATTGCACACCTTTTGCATGAAATTATTATGACAATGGTAGACAAAAATTTGAAGTATATGTTCTAGCACAATAGAAACCAAAGGAAATCCCATAAGCCATAACCAGAAACTGAATCCCATGTAAACTTGTTCACCAAGTTTCTGCAATATAAAATGCTGAATTTTGCCAGATGAAAAACCAATAACAAACCTTAGCTATACTCTCAATTTGGTCTAGCACTGAGATTATGTGGCGCAATGTAACTGACCGATACCACAATTGATGTAATTGTTTATTGCGGGAGCTAAGAAATTTCTTAGCCTCTGCCAAATCAACCTTTAATGTCCCAATACTTTCAGCAGATTCGCTAAACAACCGCAAGATCTGCAATAGAAAAAGAAAAGAAATTATAAGGCATGATAAAAATGTGCTACCAGTTATCCTTCAATATCAGGAAACATGCAGATCATCAACATTTATCAGAATATCACCAAAATAAATACTTAAGTAACTGTGTTTATCAAGAAGTTGTTTTATGATATACCTCCAATGGATGGCTACTGACCTAAAAATTATCAGATTTCTCTTATATCATTTCTTTCTTTTTTTTCCAATTCAATAAGAAATCTATCAAGTATAAGGAATGGTCAGGATGGACCGAGACCTAATGAAGGTTTTGCTAGAGAATGTAGAGATGTAGACAGGGATACGTAGTTGTTTTTATATGCCAAAATGTGCTCCCCATCTTTATTTGTAATTGTTTCAGGCTCCTGTTCTTGTTTTCCTCTCTGTCACAGTTGACAGGGGTATTTTTGTCATTGTATCACCTTTTTTTATTAAGTAATATAAAAGCCAATGAAAGGGGTGGCAGAACCTATTCATTCTGCTCTCTCTTTCTCTCATTCTTTCTTCTTCTTCTTCTTCCTTCTTTGTTTTTCTTCTTTTCTTTTCTTGAACAGATTTCAAACTAAACCTAGGATTGTTACAGTTATATTTCAAGTTGGTATCAGAGCAGGTTTATCTTTAGCTTTCGGTCTCATATATGCTTAGCCCAGCCGGCTGAATGAGACTCTATTGGGGCTGGAACTTCAGACCTTTTTGCCTGATTCTTGGAGGTCAGTGGAGTTCAGTGCACTGTTATAGCACTTTTCTGATTTCTATTTTTGCCCAGTGACCAGGAAGAATCAGAGATGCTTATTCAATTGAGGTTTAGGAGTTAAACCTCAGGCTGAAGGTGGCACTCAGTGTTTTCTGGGTAGTTTTTAGCTTGTTTAGAGATTGATTGCAAGTGGAGAACATTCAGAGGTCTCTAGAAGTTGTGGCTGGAACATTCAGAGGTCTCAGATGTGGTTGAATCTTCACTGCCCATGATATCAGAATAAAAACGAAACAGCAACCAAATGAGTACAGCCGTACAAGGCTATTGCAGAAATAGGTCCTTCTGACCTCCGGTTTCACTGAGAGCAAAAAACATTATATGGTTTGAAGCAGTCTCCCCAGGCATGGTCTGAGAGACTTTGTATGGCCATCAAGAAAGTGGGGTACACTCAGAGCAGTGCAGATCATACATTGTTTACAAGGAGACAGGATGACAAACTTACGGCTCTCATTGTTTATGTGGATGATATGGTGATTACTGGAAATGACGTGGAAGAGATGAAGAGGCTGAAGGAGTTCTTAACTTCAGAATTTGAGAACAAA